TATATTAATTAAAAAGCACTAATTAATTTGAAGCAATCAAAAAGACATATCTCGTATAAAAAAAGAATAAATATATTTTAATAAAAATAATCCAAATTTGCAGATGTAAAGAAAATTGAATTGTTTGACATTTTTGTCTAAGAGATTTATAATTAAGTAGGTCCAACAAATCCACTAAATCAACTCCGGAGAGTGAATGTAAGCAACTTGAAATGTATAGAAACTCGGAATAATACACTGTTAAATGTCAAAGGAGGAGGAATGATAGACTCCAATCCCTTGAATTAAATAACATTTTTGTTATTTTTAACTTTCATGTGTATCAAAATGTAAATTAGTCTATTTCTGGATTGAATTGCTTAGTTTTAAAGTAAATAGCGTTTATATTAATGTATATACGATTAGTAAGTAATAAATTAAATTTAAGTCAAATGATTACATTTCTTGAATTAAATTGTTTAACTCTATTGTTTCAATTAAATTAACGACATATTAAGTAAGAGCAGCGATGATCTACAGAAATGATTAAAAATAACTCAGATTGGGTATAATTTGTTAAATTTAACAGTATATAACTATCTCCGTACTTTTCTTAATTTAAGAATTCTTACCAAAAAGAATTTACGGACGTTTCTTTTTTCAAATTTTTTTTACATACAAAGCGAAGCGACAGTTTACATAGTCGCGACTTCTCTGTATCCCTAGAAGGAGCTTCGTGATCCTGCCTATGGAGGACAGCGAGAACCGGTCGCCGGTGTTTCATCAGGAGGACAGCTTGGGCCTGGCATCATGGTGCGTTCAGCCGCTCTATGTGTACACTTATCGCCGGCTGCTGGAGTATCGGCGGACGCGTCATCAGCGGCGCGAGGAACCCAGCACCGTGGCGAGATGGCTATTGGGCGCCCTTCTGTTCAATCCGAGCGTGACCATGTTCTGGAATATGCGGCGAGAACTGGTGCGCGCTGGCAGGTTGGACCCGCGCGACGAGCTGTCCTTCACGCGGCCGGTGCTCTATCACACGCCAAAGTGCTTCGAGGCCTTCTCGTATCGAAGCTGGCTGATGCCGTTCATCCTGGACGCCGAGCGGACCGACGTCGCCGAAGCACTTGCGAACGACGAGCTCGAGCTCGTGCAGACCTGCGCCGATCGCTACGCGAACAACTACCACGCTTGGAGCTATCGACGCCACTTGGTCACCCTGTTCGAGTCTCGCGGTTTACGGCATTTCAGCTTCGATAGCGAATGGATGAGCACGCTCATTTGGTGCCGGCAACATGTGTCCGATCATAGCGCGTACTCCTATCGGCAGTTCCTGCTGCGAAAATACATCCTAGCAGTGATCTCCTCGGGCAGGGAGACGCACGACAACTCCGGTTACCGCTCCATCAGGTACGACGGCCCATTCCTCTACATGGGTCGTCACGACCTCGACGACGACGAACGGACGTTGCTGGAACGTATTCGCGAGGTCGCGCGTCTGGAGCGTGATCACGGTTACTTGACCACCGACGTTCGCAAACTTAGGTGTTACCTAACGGCGTTGTCATACTGGACGGAAGAGTGCTTGTATAACGAGCAATACATCACTTTGCACGACAATCATGAGACGTTGTGGTGCCACCGTAGGTTCCTGGCGTATTTGATCGCTGTTCTCACCGCCGCGTACGCGAGGCACGCCTGTTACCGCGAAGATGATTTCTGGGACGCTCGGTGTCACGATGAGCCATCACTCGCATCGCTCCTTCGTGACAGACGTTTCACTACCGATGACGACCTGTTAATGGCGGCTCATGTGATGCTCGTCAAGTCCTTTTGCTCGGTTAGTGTCGGTATCATTGAGATGGCGGTCAAGCGCCCGCAGGAAAAAATGTTCATCGAGAGATTTTGCAAGTATCTTGAGAGAATAGGTTTGCGATGATCAGGATTAGCGTGTGAGATTTTGAACTTGACGAAGGCGCGATGAACCGATCGTAGGATTTTTCTTATCATCAGGTGTAAATATAAAAGTAATAAGCGTGCAGGCGATCGCGCATTAATGCTCGCGCAATAATTTTGTTACAATAATTTCTCTCTTTTTTGTGATTTCATATCGTCTAAGTCATGTTAAGACGTATTTGATATATACGATGTTATTCAATAGCGTTTATTTAAAGTAGTTGCTATATAGTTTGTTTTTTAAGATTTTGGTATTCTTGAAATATTTTTAAGACGTTTGTTTGTGTGCTTTCCAATATATGGAGTAAGTCATAAGTATGTTTTAAAATTTTGTAAGCGTGTTTTGAATTAAAAAAAGAAAAAAAATTTTTGTTTGAATAGCAAATCTAATGCTGTCAAAGTAATGGACACAAGTAGTAGTATTAAATAATGACTTTATTCAAAAGTTTTAAATGGGAATTTTTTGTTTACAAGAAATACTTGAAGTATCCTGCATCATTTTCCATACATGTCTAATCAAGAGTCTGATCTGATATTCAGTCATTATTTAAAATTATGTCCATTATTTTGAAGCATTTACAATCAAATTTATAGGAACATTTGTTTTTTCTTCTTACCCAGGAATGTTCATAACTTAAAACATATTTATGATTTACCCTATATTTTCTAATTTTTTATTTTATTTATATATTTGAGAATATCTTTTTCATATTTCGAACATAAAACCCTTCCAAGGGTTGATATTTAATTTTTATTTTTTAACTACTTGGTCTTTTTTGGCGAAAGAAAGTTTTTCTTTTATAGGAAAAATATTTTAAAAACCTGTAATACATTTTAGGAAAGGAATTTTTTATAACTTTGAAATATTCCAGTTTGGTGCTCAAAGAATTATTCTCTTCGATTCATGAGGAAATTCTTTCGCGTTAGTTAGAACACGATTGCGATAAGCAGGATTCAATGTAGATAGGCAAAATTGAATTGTTATCGATACTTAATTCCCACATTATTCGCTCGCGACTTCGTAGCAACTTCGAGTCATCGAGTACACCAGTGATACGTAAAAGTGAAATATAATATAATAACGAAATGTAGGATATATGTGAGAAATGAAGAGGCGGATTCGTCTCACCGAGAGGGATCTCCGTCAAGGACGGAAAACGAAAGTTTTTGTGAGAATAATTATGTATACTTATAAAATATTGAAACGAGAAAGAAAAATGAAGATGCTAGTTTTCTAAGATTGTGTTCTTTTTATAGCGTCCCATAATGACGGGTATCCATTTCTCTATCTATATTTTTCAGGGTCGTAGCTGAGATCTTTGTGAGTCCTAAAAGAATCCTTGCACTGATATTTATATGGAGAATTAAATCCCGATGAAATGAGTCAGTTTTCGCGTATAGACAGGGATTTATAATCAGTTCTTATATTTGAGATCTTAAATACAATTTTGAGCTAACATAAACCAATCACAGAATCGTATTAGCGTTTTAAGGCATTACTTAAGTTGGTTTTAAAATAAGAATAGATTATGAACCGGCCATAATGTAGTCTATAATGTAATGAATAAAAATGTTATAAATCTAAGGTTTAAAAATAATAGTTTTTGAATTAAATGTATCAAAGGTGTAAAACTAGAGCTCATAGAGTATCATTAGTAAGCATAGCTCAAAAACTGTCTATTACGAGCCTTGTATCTATGACTCCTTTTGTTTACCACATTATAAATTACATTATATGAAAAATCATTTCATTCTCACTCAATTTTCCATATAATCAGTGCGAGATCCTTTATACATCCTTTAACAAATTTCTAATGCTCAGTAATAAAATCAATTCTTCTTCCTACTATCCTGTTCGCATAGATCTGAAAAAATTGTTCTTTTTTACTGTCCTATTAGTTTAGGTCCACAACCTTACTTTAAGAGGCTCTAAATAAAGCTATAAGAAATTGATCATTCATAATCGATTATTTTTCTCATACTCAACTGTGATTGGTCAATTTCTTAAGGCTTTACGATTTACAACTTCTTAAAGTAAAATTGTGAACCTAGACTTGTTCCTTGAAAATAGACTGTCAAAAGACTGTCTCAGAAACACCTCGATTGATTTATGTCGGAAATGTTGTGTGATGTCGCTGTCATGATTACTATGTCACTAACTGTCAGCTGCGTTCGGCTTTTTGGCACGATGCGATAACTGAAATAAACGAACTTTTATTTAACGCATGGCTCGCTCCTCAGTCACACTCGGGCGCTCGCTGTACTCGCACAATTTGGACTCGTGCGAATCGCTTTCGTTCCGTGAAGAATTAAATTACGCTTGACTCTCTGGCTGACTTGACACTTCCAAGTAAAATTGAAAATTTCACAAATAAAGTTTTAAATAAATAATTAATTGATTTTTTTTTGTTGTCAATTTATCATTACATTGTTTATTTATATTGGTTAATTTAAATAATGAAAATAATTCAAATAATATGCTATAAATATGTGTTTCTATACTTTATTTGTCGGGAATTTTGAAAGTTTTACTTGGCTGCAGCCAAAGGATTGAAGCTTCACGTAGTTCGGGCCTTGCGTAAACAAATTCCGAGTTGGCATTGAAAGCTTTTCTTTTTTGAGACAGAGATGCAAATTTATAATTCGCACATTTAGCGTTCTCTTGCGTTATACGTTTTTGCGACGCGAGGAAAAAATAATTTCCGTGCATATTTCACGCGTTTAATTAATTCTGTTATCATATCGCAAATCATATTGGCATTTCGTTTACATATCATAATACAAATAAACCATCGAGCTTTAACTCAGTCTCTCAGTTGCGTCCGAATATTTATTGAATAATACGAATATTACGTGCAGTCAATTATAAGCTTATCAATAGTGTGCTTATCATCAACAACGTTTTAAGCTTTCACCGGATAAAACCGTTTATTGAACAAAATATTCCATTAGATTTTGCCGCTCACTAATGGTACTGAATATTCGCGACTCTTGACGTCATAAAAAATAATGACCAGATCTACAAGATTACACAAATTCATAGAAGCTGACGTCGATACGTAAACTCGCGAATCACAAGCAAGCAGCGGTTCTTAGATATATACTATGGTATAAGAAATGATACTTCTGGCAGTATGACGTCGACCATCGTGATCCACAGCTTCGCGCGAGATGCTGTCGGAGCGACTTTCGTCAGATCCTGATTGATCTCATTTTACAATAATTAAAGGTGTATTTAAACGAATCGATTCTCGATTGCAAACATCGCAATTTTAACTCTGACGAAATATTCTTGCGTCAGTCGATAATTGCGAAAAACTTGCATCTGCAAATGCAGTATATTGAAGATACAATCGAAAAGTGTGTTAATAACGATAAAGTCAAGAGTTATTTTTAAAACAGCTATATTCGGGAAATATATTTCAATACTTTGTATGTAAAATATTTACAAATTAGCTTAATTATTAAATTAAAAAAAAAAAGGAATTTATATCATGTAATTTTACTTAATATGGCTAAACATTGCGATTTTTGCTGAGTTCAATATTAAAAACTAATAATCGAGATTCAAAATAGGAAATATTTATGAATATTAAAAACATGAGACATACTTTCAATACATGAGTACAGTAAAGATTTAATCATGTAACTATCTACCAATAGCAAGTAAGCCATATTGAATGTTACACTATATTGATTGCAGTTACCTTATTCTCCAAGTATTAATTAAAATTTAAATTTTCGAATGCCGTTGAATTTACGTGAGAAGTATTTTGCATAAATTCGATAATAAAATTAAATGTTATAACTTTTATAAAATGCCACAAAGACGTAGAATATTATCTTTTATATGTCTTGGATTTCTGTTTCTCTTTGAAAGAAGAGATTGTCAGTTTAATAAAATTGCATAAGTTTTAAACTCTAATTCACTTTATATAATAATGAAATAATAATATATTACAATAAAAAAATAACATATTAGTTATTATAAATGCTGATAATATCAACATAATTGCAAAACTTTAACAACAGAAATATAGATACATTAGTTGTAAATAAAATTAATTCAGATATAATATTTGCCAGAATCTTGTCATGCTGATCATTCACCGATGCATCTGTTCTAACATTTTCTATTCTCAGTAACTCATTCAGCGGCGTTATCAAATTGTTGTTCGAATGATTCAGAATTCGAACAAAGACCTCGCAAGTACAGGAAAGAAGACAGTTTCCTTGTGTGAGAAACGAATAGGGAAAAAACAATAGGAAAAAACGAGATTCTTGCGATATGGATAATTCCGTGAGGGACTCGAGAATGAACACTAAATAGGGTCGACGATGCTAATGAATGGTAACTATCAGTATTGATCAGTGGCATTAATGTCTGAAATACTCGCGATTATAAATTACGCAAGTATATGTTATAAAACTTAAGTGCATGATTGACGGATCACCAAAAACACGCTGTCGAAAGCGGCTGCACGTGACTGTTTCCTATCACTATCATTGGTCGATCCGAGCGATAGGCGACGAGCCGGTCGATAAGCATCCTCATGAATTCCTCGCCTGCCTCAAGAATAGACGCCATTGACCATTGTCAACTCACAATCAGTTTGACCGAGTTTTGTTGTCGCGCTATTATACGGCTATCTTTTCTTTCTTTCTCTTTTTTTTTTTTAACGAATTTGACGAACGAATAGAATGTTGGACCCTCAAAAGGAAGCTGTGATCGTCAATCTGCGACGAGGTTCAAGTTGCAGAATACCATCGACTTCTTCTGTTGAAGGTAAGCTAGATAGTTAAGGATTTGCCAAAAAGATCCACGAAATTTTGCCAACGATTTTTCTAATCAATGTGAAAGGTATTTAAGTCTAATTATTATCATATTTATCGCATTCGTGTTAACCTAATTTTTTTCTTTGTATATTATATAAAATAAGTAAAAAATATTGAACCGTTAAATATCTTAAAAACAAGATATTTCAGAATAAAATGTTTCATATGAAATTTATAGAATATTGCCATTTTATCAAATTTGATCTTGAGTGTACA